TTCTTTCAATTTTAAAAATTTATATTAAATGAACAATGTTTAAGCACAGACAACGCACACTAGGAAAATTATAAATCCACTTTCTGAATCCACACCAAAAATTTTGCCGTATATTCAGTTGTATGGGCGTTACACCTCTTAGTGTTTATATTCTCTTTGCTTTGATCATATTGAAATATGTTTTAAGGCCCCTTTGACCATATTGTAATATGTTCTAAGGCCTAAGGTTCTAAGCCTTTGACCATATTGTAATATGTTATTTGCTTTCCCATTTTATTAAGTTCTTAAAATAATTTGACTACTTTAATAATGATAAAATAAAATTGTCAAATTTTTTAATAAATATTATAAAGATCTTAAAGGCTGTTACAAAAATCGTTCATTAAATGAAAGTTCTAGATTTTTTCAGTTTTATTAACTTGCCGGTCTGAACTTATATGTGTCGACGATGGCGGCACCCAAAGCGCTCATAAATCAAAAAAAGCTGTTGTTTGCTCGCAGGCAGCAAACCACCCGGCAGCCCCTTTGTTGTGTGTTTGTGTGATGTGTGTATAAATCACAAAGCATGTCCTTTGCCAATACAAACACAATTGAGCATGCATATGCAACAGCAGCCGGAGAAAGAGAGGGAGGACGCGATAGAGAGAAGGACAGAGCAGAGCAAAAAGTAGTCAAAGAAATTGCGTTAAAAAATTTGATTAAAAAGTTTGTCGCCGATGGGCGTTGGTATTGGTGTGTGCCTCACTGTGTGTGGGAATGTGTGTGTGTGCCAGGCTGTGGGTGTAACTGTCACAGACACACACTCTGCCGGCCATTGTGCTTATCGATACGCGGCCATTGCCATTCGAACCCACACTGCACCCCAACCCCCTGGTCATGTTATAAATCTCTCAAAAGCCAAACAAACTGGGCAAGAATTCAATTTTACAAACTGACAACTAAGACAAGGCACAGACCGCAAGGAAAAATCGCCAACCAAGGTGCCGATTGAGGTTCGAATTTAAGTTAGGGCGGTATGGCACTTTATAAAAAAAAACAAACATTTTTTTGTTGAGATTTATTGACTGTTTTCTGTACTATAAAAAATAAAATAAAAAAATATTTAAAATATTTTAATATTTGTTTTGAGAATTAATCTCTTAAGATTTTTAGGCAAAAAATATTATTTTGTACATATAATCCTTATGCGTTTATTCAAGTAAAAAAGTGTAGCACCCCCTTAGCGAATGGATTCCAGTTTTATAAAATAATGTTTATAATTAGTCCAGAGACGTTTGTCAAAATGCTTGTCAGTTGCAAATGTTTTTCTGTGTTTTCTGTGGCCCACTAATTGGGATGGAAACGTTGGAATAACTTTCACCAAAACTCACACAGACACCCGCACACCCTCCCACAACTTGAGCTGCGTTGGCCGTGTCACACCTGTCGTATGCGCAATTAAAAGTTTGCTTTCACTTCGATGTTCCTTGGTTTCCTTTTTATTTTGCCCTGCTGTCGAAAATGTAATTGTCATTTTATAGGAAACGTTGAACGTTGTTAGCCACGATCCGTCCTTGCGCTCATTTACGTGCCGGTGTGTGTACACTATACGGGTATGTGTGCCTTTTAGTTGGTCTAATGAAATTAGCATTGTTAGAAAAGCCTAGTACTCAGTTCGGCTAAGAGTTTTACTAGTCGAAAAATATTAATATTTTAGGGTGACCGAAGTTTTCGGAGTTCATCCGCAATGCATGTAGAATGGTCTTACTCTCAGCAAGCAAATTAACTGGCGCCAATTTTGAAATATTACAAAATGATTAGCCGACCTAGGTCGCAAGCTTTAAATTTGCTGTTGGAATGAGGATATGTATTGCTGCAACTCCTATAGGCAGTTTTCCATTGGTTTTTGGGGTTTTCAATCTATTTATAATATGTTATTGGCACACCGCTTCTGCACAAACACAGCCAAAGATCAAATTTTTTATTCTTTGGGCCGCGGCTAAAGGCGTTCATCAGAATTCATCCGCTAAATCTAGTATTTTTGTGGTATTTTCTTACTATTTCCTTAGCTCAACTGAGTACCGCGGTGAAAAAAGTCCCCGGCTAAGGGCTTTAGCTACCTATTTGCCTCTCGCTTACTCCTATGCTTAGCTAGCAGTTTTCGTCGTACTGAGTACTAGGCTAAAGCGGCAAAAAAGGGAAGGTGGAGGAAAACTAACAGTTTTCGTATCCATTGCAACAAGTTCAAGGTTCTGCACTCACACACACGCACCGTATGAGATTGTGGCAAATGCGGCACTAACAAGCATTTTCCTACTCATATCCACAAAGGAAATAGGTTTTCCGTTGCATTTGTTACAAAAAAAAAGAGAGCACACACTGGGCCAGAAAAAGCGGAGAGAGAAAGGAAAAAGCCAACTGGAGGCGGGCAAAAAATGGCTTTGTGTAGCAGCAGTTCCCAAAAACCAAAGCTTAGGCTGCCAAATGTGGAAAGAAAATCACGTCGCAGCCTTGCAACAGCAACAAAGTGCTACAAAAAAATGCGTAACAATGGCACCAACCTTAAATGTCGGCCTGAAAGTATGTATGCTGGGCTAAATGCCAGCCGCCTTATTGGGCCAAACGAAATCATGTGGCCAAAAAGGCAGGCGCTTAGTTTTGCGGCTGGCTTTTACTTTTAGCATTCGGCTTAGCTGGAAAAAGGTGCATGGTAAACTTTTAAGCCTGACTATGTGTGAATCCAAGGCCAATGAGACTAAAAAAGAATTAAATGTTGTCAGAGAGAAAAATTTAGAATTTTTAAAGTGATTTATAAAGGAAAAAATAAGGAAATATAGGGGGAAACCATTTTATATGAACTAATTTTAGATCATGTCTAAAACGTGTTTTATAAAACTTTAAGAAAACGAGATATTGAGAAAAATTGTTTTAAAAAAGCGTTTTCTTCGACATTTTTTTAACATATTGAAATAATTCTTTGAAAATTAAAAATAAATTAAAATTAAATTACATAACTTGCAAACTATCCGAGCTTTCCACCAATTAAAATAGTCCTTTGTATGTCCTTGGCTGAAATTGCAGGATATGCAAATAAATATTCGAGTCCGTCAACGATTTCCAATCTTAACCTGCCGCACACATTCGCATCTATCCGCGCATAGGTGAGAGCTTTTACTCCGTGTGTGCGCGAGTGTATGTGTGTTCGTGAGCTCAGGAGTGTTGTAATTGAAATCGCATCGAGACGTGAAATGAAACGTAAAGTCATCGAATCAATTGAAATGAAAATTAAATTAAATGCATGCGCTCATACATTTATTCATATGCCTCAGACGCAGACGCACACAACGGCACCAGCACTCACACACTGACACAAACTCGAATCTTAATTAAACACGGATACGCATATTGAGTTCCTTGAAAGGCAAAAGCAATCGCCTGACTTCTCCAGTGTGAGTCTGTGTGAGTGCGAGAAAGAGGGAGAAAGCCGGATATGTTCGGAGAAAGAGACGAGGATGGAGTATGCTTTGCTTTTACGATTTTGCCTTTCAGCTGAAAACATTTTTTCATTCATATATGAGCAAAGTATACCCGACTTATGCACAATATATGGGGATATATGTCAGGCGACAAAGGTTTTCAAAATTGTAATGCCTACAAAATATATGAAAATTATTAAAAATCAAATACAAATGATAATGTCATAAATTCTAAAACTTTTTTATATCATTGTAGATATAGATATTTTTTTTAAAACAATCATTTAAAACATATTTTTTATGAAATTAACATTACGGTTCATTTTAGGTTTCGATGTAGATATAGTATTTAATTTTATTTATAACAATCAAAATAAGTAAGGGGTTACCTAAAAGGGCTATAAGGGTCTTTGGTCGCCTGCTTCTTATCATTACATTGAGTATACGTATATAGGCTTAATGACTCCTTGGCATGCTTTTCCACACACGTATTCATAAAAACTTTTCCATACACTTGAAGCGGCATGGAAACTTTTTCCCGGCACTGGCCAAGGCCAACTTTGTTCGGCTTCTTTTAAGCCTTAATTCATTTTACAATTCTACTGATTCGATTAATTTTAATTTTATTAACCTGCACCCTGACCGCGTGTTTGTGTGTGCTTTGTTGGCTCTCGTTTGTGTATGCGTTTTCGTTTGATTTATGAAATGTTTTCACAGCAAATGATTGATTGATTGATTGATCGATGGGCGAAAGAGTGACTGAGTGCATGTCTTTGATGTGTGGCAAAGAATAAATTTCGGTTTTGGGACGAAAGCAACGATAACAGATGCTAATTGAGCGTGAAGTTTTCCGAGCTTTCCCGGCCCCGCAAGTTCATGCGAGCAAAGGAGGAAATGAACATGAAATGTGTCAAGACAGCAAAAGGAAAACCGCAGCCACGCAAAACTCAAATGAATTTTATTAAATTGAAATGATTTTGAGAGTGTGTATAGATGTTTCTGTTTCTGGGTTTCTTTGTTGTGTGCGGCGTATTTATTTAGGCAAATGATTGCAAAGAGCTGCAAATGAAATTTCAGCGGTTGAAGGAATGCTTTTAAGGCGGAAAGCCCTGAGCTTCAATTGGCAGTGAGTGAAGCTGGGTGAAAGAAAAATAACGAGCGGCAGATTAACGTCGGTGGGAAGGTGAATCCAAAGAAATCTAATAAAGGCGCCTGGCCATCGTCAAATCGAATTTTAGCTCATCCAATCGTCGCATAAATTTATGGCATATGCACAGGATGTTTATGTGGTCCTCGGGTCCTTGGCCAAATAATGCAATTACAGCGCCAATCGAATCTCCATCAGTCCACCGTATAAGGGAATTGAAAAAGAAAAATAAATAAATCTTTACATATTCTTATATGTTTGTAACCAAACAGAAAAGCAAATTACTTGTATCAAACAGAAGGAAAAAGTAGAGGATTTTATATAACATCAAAAACCAGTAGGATTTTTACAAAATTTGATATGGCATATAAATTTTATTTCAATTGTAAGAATTTCATGAAACAAATTGGCTTTTCTACACATTTTATAAAAACTGCTGACACTTTGCTGACAAAAACATTGCTTTTTTTAAAGACTCGCACTGTACATTTTTATTAAATATGTACGCTTGGTGAGTAAGCTTATGGTATTGTTTAATAGTTAATCTTATTATTATGTTTGTTCAGTCGCCCACTGGCTCGATACCTGAATGGTAGCAGTCTGATCTTGAGGCAGCTTCTCATCCGAAAACCTCTGACCTCGGCTCGCCTGCTGGCCAGCCAAGGATCGAAGGATGTCAAGGCGAGTGGACCCACGACAATTGGTCCCGGTGGTAATATCCTGGTTCCTCCCGTCACCCTGAAAGTAATACCCTTTCGCATGCCCCCCGATTTGCCCTACGACGACCGCAATATGTTGCTCGGGCGGGAGTTGTCGCCACACTTGACCATCTACAAGATCCAACTGACCTCGACCTTGTCGGCCTTTTTGCGTATTAGCGGCTTTGTCCTGGCCGTTTTCGTTTGGGTTCTGGGAATAGGAGGCCTCTGCCTGCAAGGCGATATGGATGGATTTGTGAAAAAGGTCGAGAAATGCGACTGTCACGGTCTTGTGACGATGACCAAGGTTATGGTGGTTATGCCATTTGCCTACCACCTGGTTGCCGGTACCCGACATTTGATCTGGTATTTAAACAAATTCCTCACGATTCCGGAGATCTATGCTACCGGCTATGTTTCTGTGGTCCTGTCGATTGCGCTGGCGGCCGGTTTGCTAGCCGTTGACGTCGGCGAGAAGGCCAAGGAGGAGGTGGATCTTAGCAAGCCATTGAAAAAGGGCCAAAAGGCACCACCGAAAAAGGACGAGAAGAAGAAAGAAACACCTAAGGACGCCAAAAAAGATCCCAAGAAGGATACAAAGGGCAAAAAGAAAGAAGACGAGGGCAAGCCAGCGAAATGATCACAAGGGAATTTCGTTGTAGTACAACATCACTCTGAAATCCAGGACACTTTTAACGGAAATCGCAATGCTTATTTAGTATGATTTTAAAATTTAAAGGTATTAAATCATTAAAATAATAATAAATTATTTAAAATATTAACTTATTTAAATATAGTTAAATTGGTTATTTTCTAAGCAACTTTCAGCCACAAGAAGTACGTTTTCATCAAAGGAAAACACAACTGTATAAAGAGTCAAGTCAAAAGCCATTTTTTCGCCACTTTCAAGTTCAACAACGCCACAAAATCATTCTGCACTCAAATTTCATTCTAAAGTAGGCAACAGCAATCAAGTGCAGTATTAAGAAATTAACCCAGGCAGAAAGTTGCTTCGGCCACGCCAACTTCAAGTCAAAGATGGTAATTAGAGTCCATGGAAAACTTGTCCAGGCCTTAGGGAAAATATGAATATGTGTTGAGGTGTATGTCTATATATGCATATGCAATCAAACAAATTTCTACACTTGCACAAATTAAGGATTTTTTGTTAATTATAAAATAATAAAACGGTAATAATAACATAACATTTACCAAATAATATTAAAAAAATATATTTTATTTTATAAGAAATTAAACATCACTGTTGAAAGCCCCAAGTCAATTTAATATGAATATAAAATGAATGTAATTATAAGTTATGGATCTTTAAATACAAGTCTTAAACATTTTTGTGGTATCGATTTAAGATACATATCACTATGGACGGCAGTCCATGTAGTGACGAAGCGCACCAGGAGAGGGTGCGAAGGCGACTACTATATATACACGAAGAAATGAAAATCTACTGTGATGGTCCGATCATAATGAATGATACACCTATCGAAAGGTATTGCGAAAACTAACAGGATTGCATACCAAGACTCTAAGAAAATCAATTGGCTTGGGAGAGAGAGACGTGAAAGTGAAAAAGTGAATATTTCGAAATTTGGAGCTGTTGGGGCCGGTGGGGATAATTGCCCCCTCTCAATGTTTTAGTTGTATTCCTTTTGAAAATACCCGTCGAATGAGGGGTCATTTGTCAAAATCCGACAAAATCCGTTCAAAAGTTATAGCCAAAATAAGATTTTCTTCGTCTTCCCAAAATGAAAATTTAATTCTGTTTGTCAGTTTGTCAGTTTGTCAGTTTGTCAATTTGTCAGTTTGTCCAAAACATGTTTTCTAAGTTTTGAAAATTTGATATGACGTTCATCACATCGATATAAAAAACTTTTGTTCTACCACTTTTGGAAAAACTCGCTAGTTTAGCGGGAAAACAGCTATAAGTAGCTAAAATTCGGAAAGCCGTAACTTCTATACTACTAAAGCTACAGACTTGTGTTATATCTCGTTTGAAAGGTATTTTTAAATGCTATAAACGCTTTCTATATGCTTTCTAAGATTTTCTCATTCGGCACGCTGCAATAGAAAATGCCTATGAACGTAAAAAGGCTAAAATAGTATGCTAGGGCGGGCCGAATGAGAAAATATTAGAAAGTCTATTTAATGACGAGTGTAATAATTTTTCGTCACAAATGTTGATATCAGAACTTTTGTATGTTGAAGGTGCGATCGTCACTAGTTTTTTACCTCGTTAAGAGGTGTTTTTATTTGATTTGTTATAACGTGATTTTGATATATTTTCCAAGATTTTTCACACTTTGTTTCGGGTGCAGCTAGCCTTCGAGTGGGGACACGCCCATAGGCATTTTTCCACTCCACTTGACTGTGGTCGGCCTGTGTGCGTGCAACAATTGTGCGGCCTGGGCAACTTGGCCAACTTTCGGGCCAAACTGCACGCAATGCAGCCACAGCCAGTTGAATGAGTTCAAGGCTTTTTTGGGGTTTTCCCCTTTAATTATGAACCACTCAACGCCAGTCAAGTGTGGTTGTTGCCATTATTTTTACTCTGGCTCCTGCCTTTCTCCGGCCACTTTCCCCCGCATTTGGCCCCAAGTTCAAATGGGTGAAAGTTTTAGTTGTGTTTCTGTATTTGTTGCTTTTTTTCGCCCCTCTTCAGCTTGCTTAGCCCTCCCTTTTTTTGTTTCATTTGGGGCGAGGGACAGAGGGATTTTCCAAATGCGCCACACGATACGAACGGCTGCTTGGGTCCGACTGGGAAATCTATGCTAGACAGGCCTCATTATGCTGCTAATGGTTTGGCTCAAACTTTTACAGGTAATTATCGACACTTTGCAGGGCATTTGCTGCTTGATCGTTGTTCTTGTTGCCACCGAGGTTTCCATTTGCTTTTGCTGCTGCAGTTGAAAAGTTAAGCACCGCATTCTGGGGGCAGGGTCCTCAGCATTTTGCGGAAGATGGGGCACAACCGCTTCAGCTTTTTCCGACTTGACTTTTCGGGTAATTAAGTGTGTGGCCAAAATATGCTTTAAACGTTGATAACATGGCGTATGCTTGATGTTGTGTCTACTGGGAGGTGGCCACTTGAACTCCCTCAACTGTAAAATGAGTTATGAAAAGTTTAGTTTGGACCAAAGTTTTTGTTTTTCAAAGGCAATGATTATTGCGGTTTTTTTTTTAATGACTGGCTGTTGGCCATTTTTTTTTTAAGTTATATTATTCTAATTCAAAGATTTTAGAGATAAAAATATGTAAATAGTCTAAGGCTAAGAAGTAACATTCATTTATTGAATACAATTTAATTTCCTTTTTTAAAATTACATTAATAACTATAAAAATGTTAATTAACTGCAGATTTATAGAGATTTTTCATTATTTTCCCTATTACCTTTGTTAAGTGCTTGACTGAATCCTCATTTCTCCTTCGAAATGCGTTAATGAAATCCCGCGAAACCTCCTCCTTTATTGGTATAAAAATACCTTCGACTATGAGTTCACTAAATTTTTATGCGTGTCGCCAAAGTGCTGAGCAAATACCCGGGCAGCGATTTTAATTGAAAAATATTTACCCACACTAAGCTTTCCAGCGTGCTTGACATTTTGACGCGGAACTCAATGACCCCACTACCGTCTATTAGGTATTTCAATGACAATGCACTGCAAAAATTTGGCGGTTAATATTAAAAAACTATAATAATTTTGATAAAGAATGTTTTAAACATTATTTAATTTATATTTTTAAGGATTAGAATCATATGAAAATTCTAACACTAGATGAACTTTAAAGTTCTGTCCCTAAAATTAAGTTGTTTTAAAATTTCCAAGTGTAAACTGGATTTAATTAGTTCTCATTCGGTTGACTACTTTTTGCTGCTGTGTAAAGTTCAATTAATATGCGAATGAAATCCGCTTAAACAAAAGGAAAGGCAAGAGCAAAATCGGGAGGAAAACGATGCCAATCAAGGACCGCCCATTCCATTCCGCAAACCCGAGTGATTTGCGACATTTTGTCATTTTCGCTGATGCAAAGCCGACACTCGAAATCGTCGGAGGAGGCTGAGGAGAAGCGATGGAACGTTCAAGTACACTAATTAAGATCAAACGTTTCGGGGGTCCAAATGAGATTCCATCGCAAGGGGCCAAAAACTACCCTCCATTTGGCGGCCATTGTTGTACGTATATTCATATTAAAATCACATAATGAAGTGTCAGCGAAAACGACGCCGTCGCCCCCTTCAATCAAAGATTAACGTCAAAAGTTGGGATGCGAGTGTTCAATCAAAACTCTGGAGTGCCAGTCAGCCCTCCCCATCCATTGTGTTCGCTGTTTGTAATTTATTTGGCCGCAGGCGGCCATCAAAAGGTAAGAAGTGTCCTTAAGTGGTTGCCTTGGCTCGACTCATTTCGGCTCATCTGATGGCTTAGACGGGACTTCTTATTCTCCGCCTTCGTCGCAGGTCGCACCGGTAATTAATGAAAAGTAGGCACTGGGACAGTTGGGGGTAACTAATTAAAGATCCTTAATAAAGTTAATGGATTCCGCAAAGACAGCGGCCAAGGGTCCAATGAGCTGTGAGCTCTTTTCTCTATTTATAGCCCCGCTTATTTTTCTACTTCTTTGTTAATGTTTCTGTCCCTTCGCCTTCCTTTTTCTTAATTTTCTTCATAACTTTGCATTTGTATTAAATGAGGTGTAGCGCTATGTGACGCATTTAATGCCCTCGTCAAGGGTATTTCAAGTATGGCTTTGAAATAGGACTAAGAAAATGTATCACTTAAAATTAATTTAGCATTCGTACACCCTTGAAGAGGTCACTCTTAATTCCAAAATAAAGCAATTAGGTTTAATTGAGTAATTGATGTTCGATGTTAATTCGAATGTGCAATTTTGTCATGTATTCTTTTTATTGCAAATCAACGCTCTACATTTTTTTCTTGATTTTAAATCACTTACAAAAAGGTGAACCGGTTATTCTGAGCAAGACTTTTTAAATTTTCTGCCAAAGATAACTTTTGGCGTAATATTAAATATTAAAAGGCAAACTGTGTTTTACCTACTGAAAAATGCATGGGACACAATAGCAGCAGTGGAAACAAGAACCGAAATGTTGACTATTCGCGTAGCCAAAATTTCAACGTTATTTTCATTTATAGTTGAGAACTCCCTGTGTGTCTACGATATATGAAAAATTATATTTTGTTTGACATTTCTCCTTTATTTTATATTTTTTCTTCTGCTACTTTTTTGCAACTCAAGCGTTTATGACACATTCAGTCAGAAGTCAGGAAACCAAAAGGAAAATGTGTTAGGGTAAAGTTATAGAAGAAATATTACTACAGTAGAAGATCGAAAGAGAGATTTTCAAATGTAAAATAAAATTAACCAATCAATAATTCATAGTAAATTAATTTTGGTTTTGACTATTTAAAATAATTTAATTTCCAGTTAATTTAAAAATATATTTTATTTTAGGTGATATATTTTTCAAACCTTTCTGCAATTAAATAAATATTAAATAATTTAACTATGTATTTATTTTAGTTACTATACCTAAATGCTCTATATGTTTGTGATTTTCTGGCCAAGGGGGTGGAGCTCAAAAATTTAAACGTACATAAATATATGAAAAGTTAATTTGAAAAAATCTCTTTTGACAGCGAATGGCGAACAGCAAGAGCCAAGGATGCGAGGTGTTGTTACAGCTCCTCGGTTCTATTTGCTGCCCCTGCTGCTTTTTGATGC